CTCGACTCTTCGGTTCGCATTCCTCGGTCCCAGGATTTCCCGAAGTGTCCCTTTTCCTTTGAGCCGAGCAATACCTGTCCTACGACAAGTGGTTCCCTGTGATAGTCGGCTCCTAGAAGGACTTTTATGGCCTGGTGCTCCTCGGCTCGTTTTGTCGAGCCGACAAGTGCATCCACCTCCAACGAGTCCACCTTTGAAAGTGCCGAACCCATCCAAACGGTCTTCCACCAGCTGAGATAATGGCTTTCCGGGTTACGAAATCGCTGCCACTCTAAGAAACGCGGTAACTTCCTCCTTGACACACATTTCTTACACCCTACGTCCAAGATGCATTCGGTGCATTTCCACGTATGCCGATGCACTCCAACGCCCACTCTGATGCACCCCCCCAATTACCGGAAAGAAGTTTAACATCCATCTATATGCTCCTTCCATATACCCTGATGCATCTCGACGTCCGCTTTGATGCACTTTTTATGCACTATCAGTCGCCGGTGACATGTAGATACGTAATAAAAAATGAAATTAGGAATCGACGAGGCGCATCCATTCCCTTTGATGTCTACCTTTGATAGTATCTAATCTGAGGAATAATTCATGGGGTTACGAAATTCCCGAGAGCTGTACCTTTTCTACCTTCTCTGTACTCCGAAAGAAAAAAGAGTAGAAAAAAAAAACGTTCGTCGACCCAGGAAAATTTTTTTTCCCGTGACTTGTCACTGTTATGTGGCATTGTCTCGCAATTAAAATCGAAGAGAAGCGTGGGCTTGTTGCAGGATTGAATTTGCATACTCACGCACCGAGGTCGCAGGAGCAGGTGGTGTGTACGCGGCGATACGCATGCGCAGTCGGTCGTTGCGTACGCACGATACCCACGTGGTATCGGCTCCATTGATGATTTTCATTCACATGGCGTTTCTACGAGCATTCGCGACACCTCCTTCATGGAGGCGGGTCATGCGCAAGGAGTGCGTTCGTGTAATTTACGAGTACGTACATTAGACGGTCATGCGATCGCGTATTTTCGAGTACCCAGGAAGACGGCGAGAAATTACGATAAAAGGGTTAAAAAAAGTATTAAATTCGGAAAGAACAGAATTGAAACTATTGTGGATTACTGCGAGGGTATGTCGAAATCAATTCATATTTGTACAGACTGAAAGGTTCTCGCTATCTAAACACGGATTTTTCAAATGGACCTTTCACTCCGTTCGGTCGTAACTAATGAGCTTTTAGGCTAATTATCGCTCGAGTGCGAAGCAAGTACCTACTTGGAATGCGTGTGTACATACATACCGGTGTACTACCTGTTCACGAGTACTTACGGTGGCTTAACGGAGTCATTAAAGTGCACTTCTGTGCTGGGAAGTCATTTCACAAGGAATTTTTCCGGTTTAATAATTATTACCGTAATTTAATCATGGCGAGGATGTAACGCCGGAGTCTTATTGGGTGCTCTCATTATTTTTTTTTCCAATGCAAATTTATGAAATCATTCAGTAAGATAAATATACAGAAATTAATTAAAAAGGAAGGGATGGAGGGACGTGACATTTTCATGGTTTTTAACGGGCTGGTCGATGACTTTCGAAAATGTTTATTGTGAAGCAATCCACGTGCGTAATTCCTGTAACGAGCCGTAACGAACCTTTCCAATAAGGAGGCTCATTTTTCTGGATGACCAGGATTGGAGATGGTCGAGCAACGTCCGCTGATCAGTCAAGTGACTCGGTGATCTTTTTGACAGCGTAAATGGGGTCTAATGACATTCACTGACCATAAGCGTCGAGATTTCCGGATTTCCTTTTTCGTTTCTGTCCACTACCCGAAGCGAACCCATAACAAGCTGAGAAGCTTTACAAAGGATTTTTTGCCATTATCCAAGATAACGTCATAAAGCATGTATTATCCAGAAATGATTTTCTGAAATACTATTTCGGGTGAAAATTGATAATATAGAATATATCATTCTGAGGGAAAAAAAAAGGAGGAGTCGCACGCGCCTCTTGTAAGGCGAGCGCGTCGTGTGGGGTCCCTAGGGACAGAGGGGTCCCTAGGGTGGCCGGGACTCGTCGATCCCGATGGGACTCCCTTAATGGTGTCCCGTGACCATGGTCATGACCGAAAACTCCTCGTTATTTATGGGGACCCCCTGAATTAACGGAAGGGCCTGGGCTCCTCGAGGAGCTCTTCGTTAAACGAATTTCGATTTTATCCGCCGGTCCAGCCGGAGAGATATCGACCTTATTAGTTGCCCCATCGATCGTTGGATCGATTCCGGAGGAAAAAATAAAACACGTGGAAAGATAGATTGAAATTCCTCGGGGTAGTTTCGATCTTGAATAAGGATAACCTCTGACTGAAGAGAAAAAAAGAAAATACGACCCTGACGAGACCTTATCGACCTTATCAAATCGTTGGATCGATTTTCCAGGGGAAATAAAAAAATGTGGAAAGACAGATTGAATATTCCTCCGGGGTAGTTACCCCGTCAATTTTTTAGGAGGAATAAAAAGCGAAGAAAAATAGATTAATAATTCCTCCGGGGCAGTTACGACCCTGAAGAGGGATAACTGGTGGTCTAGGTCTTGGGCATCGATCATTGGGCCGAAAATTAATGATAATCCCGAACGGTCTGGCTCGATAAATTGCTTCGACCCTACTTTGGTCATGATTTATAACAATTGGCGGGGGATGCGTAGGGCGGAAAGTCTGCCAGGAAGCTTGTCTTTTAACATCGGGGAGTCATCGGGGGGTCATCGGGGTCGGTCATTGTCAATGGCAAGGCAATTGGCAATTTTCACCGGTCTGGCCAGCTTTATCGAGGGTCTCCTCCGCTTTCCGAGAGCCGGAGATATTCACGCTCTCGACAACGAAGTGTCTGACGAGTCTCGGTTATTTCTGTCTTCGCGTCAGTCACACCGACCGACTCCACATCCGAGAAGCCGAAACCCGGGTTTATTTAGAATAGGACCGACCACGAGGATCGAACGTGGTCAATGAAGTGATTTCGCTAAGAAACGGCCTCGTTAAAGTTTAAGTTAAGGCGGGCCGAAAGCCCGAAAATCGGTCCATTCGATTGACCCACACTTTTCTTTAAGGGTGGCCCATAAAAAAGATACGGTCATCCATCATTGTACGCTCGCCGTAAGGGTGATTATACAATAGGTAGAATTTTTGCATCGACTCGGGACTTTAGCCTATTTTTCTTGTTTACTTTTGGAGTATGGAAAATTTAAGGGCTCATCCGGCGAATTGTGTGGTCGAATCGAAAGGGGTTATTGGGGTAAGGGAAGTTCGTAAGGAGCTTATCAGGGCGAGCGGGCATGGTATCGGGACTCTACTTCCTCGTTTCATGGAGTTTTATGAAGGACGAGCAGATCGCACTCCATGGTGGGAATGATTAATTCTCTCGGCGATCGGTTCGCTACGCCCTTTACTTTCCTTTCTGGAGGCGAGGCTCTTGCCGGCGCTGCCATCTATGGAACGGAACAGCGGATGGGACCGAGTTATTTCCGTCGTCATCCGTCACAACGGGTTACTCGAGTCTCGAGTCGGCGGAGATTCGAGACTCGAGGCCAGACACAATAGCCCTGGTTGTTCCGAGGAGAGTCGTGGTCGGGTCGAGTTTGAATCGAGTCGGTCGAGTTTGAATCGAGTCGGTCGAATTTGAATCGAGTTGGATCGAATCGAGTCAAAGTTTGGACTGAGTTCGTTTCTGGGTTACTACAAGTGGAGGTGACATCGAGTTTGGAATGGATCGGGTTCGAGTCGAGTTTTAATTCGAACCAAATTCTGCCGAGTTAAAATCGAATTATTATAAAATCGACTCGGGTCGAGTTTGAATCGAGTCGGTCGAATTATAATCGACTCGGGTCGAGTTTGAATCGAGTCGGTCGAGTTTGAGTCGAGTCAGTCGAATTTGAATTAAGTCGGTCGACTTTGAATCGAGTTGGATCGAATCGAGTCAAAGTTTGGACTGAGTTCGTTTCTGGGTTACTACAAGTGGAGGTGACATCGAGTTTGGAATGGATCGGGTTCAAGTCGAGTTTGAATTCGAACCAAATTCTGCCGAGTTAAAATCGAATCAAATCGAATTTAAGTCGAACCGAGTCGAGGCAAATACTTCCAAGTTAAGATCAAGCCAAATCGAATTTAAGTCGAACCGAGTCGAGGCAAATACTTCCAAGTTAAGATCAAGCCAAATCGAATTTAAGTCGAACCGAGTCGAGGCAAATTCTGCCGAGTTAAAATCGAATCAAGTCGAACTTGAGTCGAACCGAGTCAAGAAAAATTCAAGTCGAGTTTCGAATGAATTTAAGGTGAATTCGAGGCAAGTCTCAACATAATTCCAGTAAAATTCGAGTCGAATTTCACCCGAGTTAAATTTGAGTCTGGCAGAGTCAAGTTCGAGCTCGACTCGATTCCCAAGCAAATTGGATCCGCTTCTGGAATCGCGGTTGTTCTTGAAACGAGAAACCCTGTGCGTGGCTCCGGGATAAACGAGGCGAGATTTCTCCTCCGGTCCTTCCTCGTTCTCTTTCTGGAAAAGCCCTTAACTTCGCCACGTTTCGACTCGCGACCCCGACCGAATCGTGAGTCTTGTATAAACAGTTCTTCTGGCCTCCGAGTGAGCATTTCTTCCCCAGAAAACCTCTACTTAACTCTACAGCTCGACATTCGAAGCATAGAATCCGCTCATTCGACAAATTTAGGAACTCCGACATCCTCCGTCAATTTCTTGATTAACCCTTTGAGGGTCAAGTCCATATGACGTATGGGCGAATTTCATCAGGGCGTGCAAGCGATATTGGACCAATCGTCGGACGCACTTACGGGTCCTTAGCGCTCAAAGGGTTAAACTAGTATAACAGCGTCCCAATAATTATGAAACATAAAATTTATATCCGAACTCCTGGTTTAGAAAACGATGCTTCATTTCGTATAGTATTGATGCGAAAAGGGTACTTAAGAGATCGTTTTTTTTATTTCTTTCTCAGGTCAGCCAGGCCCTCTTGGAACGAAGAGCTCGAAGAGTGGCGGCCTTTTCCCTCCCGTCTTCAACGTCGCTGCCAAAGCGGAAATTACGTCGAATGCTACCTGCGGCCAAGACGGGCCGGAAACATTCTGCAAACCCTCGGAGTCCTCTAGATGTGCCGTATGCGACACCAGGAGTCCTGATCCTGGGAAAAGACACGGCATCGTCAACGTCCTCGACTCTGGCCCAGGAAGATGGTGGCAAAGTCCGACCCTGGCCAAAGGAGATCGATACGAATACGTCACGATAATCCTCGACCTGAAACAGGTACGCGTTTAATTATCACTTCTTAATTAAAAGGATAATTACTCGACTCGAACTGTCTAGAATAAATAGGGCGCAATATTTCCTCTCTATTATCTGGAATCATGAGAATTCGAGTCAAGTACATTATTCTCGGATTTGGCAAAAGATGTCTTCGGTTCAATGAATGTTGTTTTTTTTTGCCCCTTCAAAATGGCCAGGATTTTGCTCTAACTGTCTAGAATAAATAGGAAGCAATATTTACTCTTTATTATCTGGAATTATGAGAATTCGAGTCAAGTACATTATTCTCGGATTTGACAAAAGATGTTTTCGGTTCAATTAATGTTTTTTTTTTTCGCCTTCAAAATGGCCAGGATTTAGCTCGATCCTAGGAGAGGAAGATCGAGATAAATCCCTATCATTATCTCGGGGATCTTTGATCGAGTAGTTTTCCTGGGAGATCGAGATTCACTCGCAACCAGATTGGCCCTCGGGTTTTCTGTCTCGTCCTGGCGCTCCTTTTTCGGCATTATCGGGATCGTGGCAGGGGACCCTTTTTCAAGGGGCCGGCGACTACTATGCTCCCATTACGAGGCCCCTTAAAAAGGGGCCGGTCTCTCGTTAAAGCGTTAAGGCACCGCCGGCAATTTGTAGGAGCGTCCAGGTTGTGTTCCCGTCCGCCACACGCCGGCGAAATTCCTGGAAAGGATCAAAAAGAGTCCTCGTCGCTCTGCCGGCCTCGGTCGATCGCCTCGTCCTTCTCTTCTCCTCTCTTCCCGGCATTTCTCCTCGCGGATCCTCTCGGACGAAACGAGAGAGGCATAAATCGAACTCCGAGAGGAGAGGATGGAAACTCGGACCGACCCCGAAGAGGCGCCTCGAAGACCTCCGAGTTAACTTTAACGATCCGAGCCACCGATTATCCTGGGACGTTTCGGGATATCCTGGATCGCTTCTAAGTGTTTTCCCGTGTATCGCCGTAATTCATCCAGGGATCCTTCGAACTTCCTTCTTCGTGCAAGACGTGACGAATCAAGGAAGGGTTGCATCCTTTCCTCGAGGAGGGATTTCCTTCCTCCGTAGGGCAGGACTCGATTGACCCCGTCCTTTTCCTTGCATCGTCCTTGCTAGGTCGAATTTTTTTTTTCAACGATCTTTAATGGCCTTATTGCGCTGTTAATTATTATTTAATTAAAATAAATTATTTAATTAAAATAATAAATTATTAATTAATTAAATTGTTATTAACGTCGGTTGTGGAGAAATATTGTCCTTGGCCTCGCCGGTTTAGCCAATTTGGGGTGTCGAGCATTCGACAATGGAACCAGGAACGTGCGGGGTCCTCGGGTGAGGGGATTTCGGAGCTCTTCTGGCCCTTCTTCCGAAAACCTAGGCGTGAAAGGACCACGAAATGCCTCTTCAAGGGTCGATTCCGAATCCTCATTGTCCCTAGATTAACGAGTCGAGAGTCCTTCCGCAGGATCCCCCTCACGACTGCGACCTCGTGAAAAGTCCTTCGAAGGGCTGATGATGAATCATCCGAATAACGAAACGAGAAATAAAGCCAGCAAACGATTCGAATAACCAACGTTGAACTCGAATTATTCGAATCTTTACCAGATTAAAAAAATCCTATTATAAATTGAATATCATGGAAAAATATACTCGACGAATCACATTTTTTATATATTTTAATTCCTGGATAATTTCGGGAAGAGAGGAATAATAGTAAGAAACGACTCTTTGATGTTTCCCTAAAATGTGAAGTTTCCTGAAAATATTTCAGGAGATCGAATTAATCCATCGATCGATCGGTCGGCGTCGATCCTCCCGGTAATTGACTTTTTCTCGCCTCCGAGTCGTTCCTTGCGGAACTCGACGAATTTAACTGGTCGTAATTTAATTCCCACGGTCAGTGGCGATAATGAGAGAGCGGTGGGCCTCTTGGTCGGGTTTTTGCTGGGACCTATCCCGGAGTGTTGCGCTCCCGCGGGATTCTGGCCCTCTTTCTTTTCCTCCTTCAACGAGCGCTTTCCGCCGCGACGTCTCGCTTCTTCCGAGGAGGTTCTTCGAGTCGTGAATTATTGTCTCGGGCAGGCCCTTTGTGCGCGTCCCGCTCCTTGGGCCTCCTTATTAAGACGTTTCGAGTTCTATGGGGATCCCTTTATCCCCTGATTTTCATTTCCCCTCCTTGACTCGCCGTTTTCGCCGAGTATCACGTAAGAGATCTGCCGAGGTGTCGATCGATTTTCTATACACAATTTTCAACATTCCAGATATATTTTCAATAATTCTGGAATAAATTTAGAAACGCCAGATTCCTTGAAAAGTTGCAAACTTTGCAACGAGAACGTATAGCGTCTGAAAGGAAGGTCCTGACACCCATGAAATTTCATTTTTAATAAAAAATTCAGAAAATACCTATAAACAAAATGTTTAAATAATTGAAGTTTCATGGGTGTCAGGACGTTCCTTATGGCTTTACGTTTACATTGTAAAGCTTGGAACGATTTACTGGACCTAGGTCGGAAAAGGGTTTCATAAACGGAACCCCTTTGTCGCCACTCTCAGGTCCCCTTATCATATTTTATTCGGTTATCATATTTCGGGTTAAACGAAGAAAATTCATGGGGAAAGATTCCTTCAATGGGAGCAGATCTCCGAGTTTCATACCAGTCGTAATGGTTTTTAAGAGATGGAAGTGCAGAATTGCAGCCCCTCTTATCAAGGCGAAGGAGAGAGTAACTTCGTTAAGGTTCCCCTCGTTACGAGTTTGCCGAGCAATTTCGATCTAGGGGTTATTAATGAGGAAATAACCCCGGAATGTCAACTTAGCGTAGAAATATCGACATCGGTATTTAATCGATTTAATGATTACTCACTTGATGACATTTGCGGATGGCCTGCACACCCGATGCCTAGAGTACTCGATAGAGAAATTGTACAAATTGTGCAAATAATTCCCCCGTGGGTTATCTTTGGTTACAACTTCGTCTGCTTGTTTTCTTGTCTTCTCCTCTTATCATCTTCGTTCGTCCCCTGGGGTCTCAGTCCTCTCACAGCTGGGTGGTCGTCTTCGGTGTAACTCTTTCTCGACATGTCTCGTAACTCCTCCTGGGTCATACTTTTTCTTCGCACACCTTCCACCTCGTTTCGAGCCTACACGTTAATTCCCGGGTTTGTCAACCCCTTCGTAATTCCCGCCCTCGGGGCTGCCGTGGGATCCCTGATTATACACGGTGATAATGGCAGACACCAACAGGTGGTACTCGATAACGGTGATAAAGAACGAATAAAAAAAGGGGGGAATCGGATGCTCGATAATTCCTACCGCCAAAGCGGCCGCGTATTCCGGAGAGTTTAATGCGACAAATTGTCGTTAACAATCCCCGCACCGAGGGAAAAAAATAAGAATCCCATCCTGAGCCTGAGAAAAATATTTATTTAATTAGTTGGATACCAAGGAGATTTATTTCCTCGCTTAAAAGAATTACCTTACTTAAATTGAAATAAAATTCCATGCAACGTTTCTTCGAGGATCGCGACAATTTGTCTGAGCTTATTTGAGGGGAAATTTTTCGAATTAAGAAAATATTTTCTTGGTGCATTGCATTTTTTTTTTTTTCTTCCGATGGCCTTTGGGAAAATTCAATGTATGGTCGATTGGGAAATAATCGAGTCCTTTATGGGGCAAACTTCGTATCGCGAACAGATCTCACGTCGTTTGCCTCGTATCGAGCCGAGAGATCTTGGCGCGCGACACCGGGGATGCACCTTTGTATGCACCTCGCACGGGTGCAAGGCGCGCTGCACTTTGGGCTTTTTCGCGGTGCACGTGACGTGCAATTTGTGCCTGGATCTCCGAGCAAACCCCGAGTGCATTCCCCAGGCCGAAAACCGGTTGCCCTTAGATTATAAAAATTTTTTATTACTTCCCATTCCCGACAAAAGCGGCGAGGTGGCGTTTGTCGTGCATTCATTTGGTCGCTTCTCTCTTCACGTCCAAATTAGAAAAAAAAAAAAAAAAGAGTAATTCTGGCCCCACTTCTAAATTCCCACGTTAAGGTAGTCCCTTGATACAATTGATATACAAAATGATACACAATAATATTAATTAATATACGCGAAGAAACTCCTTTCGTCTCAAGATATTCGAGTCTCTATCCGCGTACCGTTTAAAGTGTTAATAAATTAATAAAAGGGAAATTAGACATATCCACCGAGAAGAAAAATTTGCCATAAAGTGTCGTTAAAGGTGGTGGATTATCGATTATCGATAATTCGTCCTCGAGGAAGCGAGAAAAGGTGTGCAGGGGTCGAAGAGGGATGTTTAAATCGGGAGTACTCTTCGCTTGTTACCGATTATGGAGCCGGCCAGGGTGGAGGAGCATTGTTCCTAGGACCGGGGGAAGGTAAATCCCGGAGGATAAGGGTAATTGTACCGAGAAAAGGAGGTCCTCGGGAGGAAAGGGGAGGAAAGGAGAGAGAAAAGGAAGAGAGGCAGGGACCACCGTGTCGGTTGCTCCACTTAGTTCGTTAAGATTCCCACGAAGCTGAGATTCGCCGGTTAAGGTAATAGCATGGGACACGGCACTTGTTTAACTAGGGCCCAGGGCACCGCTAATAAATTGCCATTGCACTATCTGCTCGGCCATAAATGGCGAGTCGGCGAGAGAATTTACGCGGACGTCTGGGCCCGCCTCCAGCAAGAGTAAGAGCAGAGTAAGAGCCTCATTGCACCGAAATTGCATCACGACTGCATCCGCGGGTTCTTTTCGGCCAATTTCCGAGGCTCCACCTAAAACCGGTTGAATTGTTAACCGAAGGAGATATACATATAATAAAAAAAAAAAAATAAAAAGGCCGATCTCGAGTGCTTTCTTGCAGCCCTCGTTACGTAGGCGCATCTCGGAACACAATGGGCCCTTGTATGTAACGCACGTACACCATCTCGAAACTGCGCTGTAATTGCTCTCCCATTACGCTGGATAGAGCCATCCAGATATGGATCGAGACATTCC